CTGACTCCCAGAATTGTCCAGGGAGAGAAAAGTAACCACACTTGGGAGTTGTGTGTATTTGGGTGTGTTTGGGTGTGTGTTTTTTTTTTTTTTTTTCTCTCTTTTGTTTAAGAACATCCTTAAAGAAAAGGTAGAGGTAAATAAGAGATTGTGCCATTCTGCAGTATCAGATCAAATAAAGAGGGAGGAAATTCTAAGTAAGAGTAAACTTTTTGGAGTAGGAAGGCCAAACAGAGGTGACTGGGGACATTGAGTGAATGTCTGGCTCCCGAGGACCAGAGATTTCCTGCCTTAGTGTTAGCTTTATTTGAAAGTCATCATCTCAGTCACTGCTGCTGTTTTAGTGATTCCGTTGTAATCTAGATGACCAGGATGAAAGGCTTTTTTTCCAGAGTTCGTGACTTTCTATATCCTGTGACACTGTTGACATTGATTTCCCATTTCTTTAACCCTTTATCAAATTACAGGCAGAAAATAATTGGTTAAATAGAATAAATAAGCATCTACTCAAGTGCTGAATTGTTTTAAGTGCACAATTAACTGTTTGCTGTAGGGACACAACTGTGCTTTAGGCAACTGTGCCCCCCTATTGAAAGATAGGATGTGAGGCTACTGCAAAAATGGGGAAAGGAGGAGAAGAAGAAAAAAAAAAAAAGAAAAATCTTGATATACTTCTCCTTCACCTGCTTCTGTGTTCCTCATGTAATTTGTTATTTTAGAGCTGATCTCAGATTGAAAAATACAGCTGATAATCAGACAGTGGCTAGATTATTATTTAAAGTTTCATTTATTATTTGTGTTGGAAATTACTTTGGCATTACTTTATTCAGAATAACTTCAATGCTAAATGCTTTCTGAAATAAGAGAAAATGGGGGGGAGGAGCACAAATGAAGTAGCTATGGCATAACTTGTACAGCAGGTTAGGGACAGCATATGGATAATGTAATCTCTCCATCTTGATAGATCATTTGAATCAAACCAATTAAAAAAAAAAAGTAGATACTTTGACATCTGAATGAATATGGTTTTGATATTTCTGTAACCCTGAATGTCATACTATTTTTTAATAATTAGCAGAAATGGACTTTTGTCTCTTAAGCATGTGTTTCAAGTGCTGACTACAGAGAAGCACCAATATCATCAGTCAGAGAAGGGAGCTTGTGCTATTATGCACTTGTTTAAAGGCCAAATTTTTATGCTCCAACTAATTAGGTAGCTGACCTTTTTGTTATGATTTTTATTTATAAATGCTGTGAAATGCAAAACAGTTTTCCACCAGCATGATAAGACTGATAAATTTTGGGAGGTCCCATTTTAAAATGACTGAACATATCAGCATAATGCTAAATTCATCTTCAACAGTAGACAACTAACTGGTGTCCAACACTGGACTAATCCACCTCACTGTCCATCTATCTCACACTCACTTCCGGAGCTTGCCCAGGAGGATGTTGTGAGGGACGGTATCAATTAAAATCAGTTTATAGCTTTCTGTGGTGACTGCAGAAAAAGCCATTTTGGATGACTAGATACTGTGACCAAAGCTCCAAAGAGCTAGGCCTAAATTCCCATGTAAGAATACACAGACTGATTGAAATACTAGTACAAAATTCTTAATTTTCTTCAAGTGGTGCTTAATTTATTTCTTGGTCTCCAGAGGTAAGTTTAATCATAAGCATATAATGATAATGCTATCAGTTCAGCTTCTGGATTAAAATGTTATGCAGCCCTCATATTCAGTGTTCGGATCAGGAAGCCTAGACTAACGAAATGCCTTCTCCTTCCCCTCCGTCCTCCCCGCAAAAAGAAAAAGAACCTTGTTGTTCAATATTTTTCTTTTACAATGGAGTTACATTTTAGTAACAGTTACATTTCACAGAGATATAGGAGTGTATATTTTCTCTCATCTAAAAGCCCTGAATTTTTAGGAATACACTTGAGAGGTCTAAGGAGATGATATTCCCTTTTTTTCTAGGGAAAAGAAAGAAAAATCTTGCTTTTTAAAATTGTGTCAAGAGATGTTTCTTGTTTGTCTGTCTGAAGATGTATAACTAGGTATTCCCTTATGCAAAGGTTGATAACAATAATGTGAACTTTATGTTTCTGGGTATGCTTTGTGAGAACAGTATTTTCATCCCCAAGGAGAAAAGGAGTGTAAGACAGTAAGATGCTCTTATGCTTGACCTTCAGCTGCATTCTGCAGAGCCTTTTTGAGTAGCAACTAATGTTGCACCTTGTGTTCACTCAGAAAAGGAAGGGATGTTAATCCCTTCCTTCTAGAGCTCTAGCCCATGGGACTCTACTGAGGAGGTCTCTGAAGAGGCTAAAGTTGGCCCTTCTGAACTCCATTGTTGCAAGGCTACTTATAGCCCTGCCACCTTCTCGTTGGATCCTGAACTCCACCAACTCATAGTCACTGCAGCCAAGGCTGCCCCCTACCTTCACATCTCTTACAAGTCCCTCCCTATTTGATAGCATAAGGTCCAGTAGCCCACCTCTCCTCATTGGCTCCTTCAAAACCTGCGTCAAAAAGTTATCGTCGACGCTCTGCAGGAACCTCCAGGACTGTTTGTGCCTGGCTGTGTTGTACTTCCAGTTGAAGTCAGGGTAGCTGAAGTCCCCCATGAGAACCAGGGCCTGTGACCGTGAGGCAACATCCAGCTGACTACGGAAGACCTCATCAACTTCCTCGTCCTGGTCACATGGCCTGTAGCAGACACCCGCCACAGTGTCTCCCACATTAGCCTGCCCTTTAACCCTTACACTTACATTAAATGTAAGCAAGCAAATTTTCTAAAGTAAACTAAAATGACCACTTTTTATAGAGCATACAGCATGAAAGAAAAGTCAGAATTAGGTAAAGTCTTATCTGCAAGTAGAATTCCTTCCTATCACATAGCCATCCTTCCTGCCTTTCACTGAAGGAAATGCTTTTATGTTTTATCACAGGTTCTAGTTTTGTGTTCGATGATAGTGCTAATGGTGTAGATGCTGTAGGATATGAGGTTACATGTTGTTGAATAACATTTGGATTTTTTAATGCACTACTCTAAATCTTTATAGATTTAAGGCAGGAAAAATATCAAATGCTACTAAACAAACAGCTTTATGTATGTTATGTAACCTGCTCATTCAGGAACATTCAGTTTACTAACAATGTCAGCTTGCAAAAAGAGACCAGGCAATATGGTGCAAATTTACTATATCACTGGGAAGAATATGGACAGTTTTTCCTGTATTGAGAGTTATGGTAGTCACTGATCTGTAATAAATACTAAGAATTTAGTCCCTTTAAGACAGGATTATAAAGAAGAAATCTGGAGCGTTCAGAACAGTTAAAGCGCTAGATGGCTTGTAGCAATAATTATTTGTTTTAAGAAATTCTACCAGAAATACGTTGTTCTAAGCGAATGTCAAAATTGGGAAGATATGGCAACCTTTTGGCCTAATAAAAATATTTTGTGAATTGGTTAATTTCTATTTTACTCCTCTTTCATATCCTTACAGTTAATAGGTTTTGTTTTGTTTTGCTTTTGTTTTTAAAGTCTTAATCCTTTTTAGCTCCAGAAACAAAGTGCTGGGGCAGCTGTTGGTGAGATATTACTGCTTCCTGTGGAGGGAAAGATAGTAGAGACCAAGCATGCAGGTGAACAGAAGAAGAGGAAGGAGCACTAATCATATTCAAATGAAAAAAAGTGTGAAACACTAATCTTTACCATAGTAAAGGTTGCCTCATCTCATGAGTGATGCATACAGAGCATACAGTCAGTTATGGCAGGTCAGTACTTGAAAGGCTAATCAAGTTCAGATATGATTGCTTTTGATCAGGAACTCCAGTGTTCGATGCTTACAGAGGAGATATCCTATTGCCGTGGTTTGGATTTTGTTAATGCATGTTCAGAGAGTATGGAAATGTAAGTAATCCCATTGAAAAAAATGTTATGAGCTACTTTGGGCAGGTCATTCCCTCTGAGTTTAAGCTATGCATTTGCTCTCTTTTGTGCTATACTGTTGAAATCTGATGAGGAAAGCATATGAAGCTTTGTACTGTTGTGCACCTCTTTTTTATTCAAGTAACGAGCTTGCTAATGACCTTGAGTGGAATTTTTTAAGCTTATTTTAATAGGCAAGTTTAGGTAATTTCATCCCTCATGGTGATACTTATGATCAAAGGAGCCTAAATTAACACCTTATTAAGTTTAAAGATATACATAACTCTTATACTGCTGTTGCCCAATAATTGGTGAATCTAATGCGTGGTGAATGTGAAAAGATTTCTGTGAAAAAGAATTAAGTCTTGGCTTAGCAGAAAGCAGGATTCTAGCTTTGCAGAATGTGCCTCAGAATTCATTAGTTGTAGATGTTGTCAGGAAGTAGAGCCTTTAAATTTATTCCCCAGGCAGTCTGAAATTTCTCAAAACTGGAGATAATTGTGCATAATAGACAACTCCAGGGCAAGTGATATGCCTTTTTAGCAGATGTTCATCTTTTACTGCCATGACTTGAGTGATCAGCTGTAAAAAAAAAAAAAAAAAAAAAGGAAGAAGGGACACATTTTCATGTAATTGCCTTTGTTTTTCTTACGGATATATCCTGCTTTGCTCAGTAAAGGAACAACTCTTGCGAACGGAGTGTGCGTGGTTGTAGGTTGATTTAGTTAAGAACTCCAGATACTTAGCCAATATTAGCAAGGTCCAGTTTCAACCAAGTAGTTAGCATATTGTCGTTGATTAGAATTGTTTTTAACTAAGAATGGGATAATCATTTTGAGAACATCATTAATTTTATTTAAGATCAGATACCGTCTAAGTAGATGGTCCGTAGCGCAGACTTAACTATGGTAAGGAGTTATACAGCCTAACGTTTTATACAACCTAGTCTATGATTATGATGCTTCTTTGCTGGAAAATGTAGGATAGTGTAGAGTTGACAGAATAGAATAAGACTGAAATTTCCCGTGCTGTTTCTCAAAGAAATGGTCGTGGCTGTTTATCTGCCTTCATGTTGAAGAATTCTTATGCTTCCAAATGGACGGTGTGTCTCTCTTTACTCGTAGTGGACCTTCCTCTTCACTGCTTTCCTCAGAGCTAGAAATGCCAGCACCTAACTCTGTGCCGCTTAAAGGCCGTTCGTA